AACCAACACCCCTCCTGGATAATCAACCATAGCAGGGCAAGTCATTGAAGCACTACAAAGTTTAGTCCAAATTGGAAGTTTTCATTTTGCAGCGTATAGCTGCTACCTTTAGAAAGGCTGTCATGTGTGGTTCTTCCGTGCAGGGAAGAGTGTGTGTAAATCAAGATGGTATTTTATCCTTTGTTTCCATTGTCTCAATGTGGCTTCACTGCAGCGGTTAGCAACCTGTATCCCAGCACTTTGAAATAACAGCCTTAATAAACACATGAAGTGCTTTGAACCACTTTGCAAGTGTTTCTCACCTCTACTGATCTTGGACCAAAACTGAAAGTACTACTTTTATTCCATAAAAGTCCCAGTGCCATCAGAAAACTGGGCACACAGTGCAGCCGATGTGTATTTTGAAAGTCATGGTTTTATTTTGGATTCTACGTTTAAAAAGTAGGCTGCACAAGAAAGGGGAATATTTTGAGCCTGTTTTCCTGTGTGTTTCATAATGCTTTTTAAGTCCCAGGAATCAAAATATAAATAATTCCTGCATTCAATACATAAACACGACCAAGGAGAGAGCGAGGGCGATGTACTGTATCTCAGGGCTATTAAATGTTATCTTACTCCAGCGCTCCGCTCTGCTTTTATCAAAAACAGCTCAGGAGATTTAACAAATTGAAGTGTTTCACACTGTTTTGGTGTAATTTACTGTAATTGATGTTTCTATCTAGTGCCGAAGCCTTCTAAAGCAATTGCTTGTGTTTGTAGGAAGACATGCAGCCCAGTGGGGTGTATTGACTCAGGCTGTTGACTAATACTACTCTGTTGGCATGTTTTAATGCTCTCCCATTGTTTGACTAATAGACTCCTCTGTAACGCTAAAAGCACACCTTGCAAACTGCCTCGGATGGGGATCGGAGTATGTTTTAGTTTTTTTATACTGCTGTAGCTTTGAAATGGAAATAAACAAGTCTTCTTTTGGTGTGAATGGGTCATCACGGGTTGTTTCACCGGGTTCTGTAGCCTACTTATGATCGGGCCTTAAGGCACATCTTAAACCGCTCAATGAATTATGTCCCCATGATTGTAGTATTTATAAGAAGAATATATATTGTTACTCAATGACGTGTAGCATCAGACCTGGTTCTTTTGTTAATGACCCAACATGTACTGCTGGGTGTAGCCTGGTGTGTTTCAGCACAAGTTGATTCAATATTCACATCCTTTACTGTAAAACTAGTCGTGTAACAATACTCTCATTTCATACTCCACAACAAGTCCAAAAGGTATTATCAGCGTGATGTACTTAAATATATAACTTATGTAATAGTAGAAAATCCTCAAGTAAAGTCCAAGTGCCTGTAAAAAGTGCAGTATTTGAGTAAATGTGCTCAGTATCCTTCCACCGCCTCATATTCAATATCCTGTATCATGAGATTCATATGAGACTATTAACAGGTAGATAAACAGAAACTGGGCAGTTAAAGTTATTTTATCTGGTGAAATATTTCTGTAATGAAAGGTCAGATGCGTTTGAAAGCTCAGGGAGCAGCTAGTAAGTGGCCCTTGAGAAGAGTTAATCTAGTAAAACATTTGATTCCAAGGTCAAGAATGAACTTGCACACTTTATATGTTAATGATAAACACATTATATACTCTCTCAGAGCTATTTTGGCTTTGTTATACACTAGCTGATAGCTTTTTATTTTTGCAAAATGCTGCAATGTAACATTCATCACATTTCTGCAAAGATGCACACATTGCAATTAGTCAAAAATACTGCAAAATATTTGACATAACCATGTTTTGTTGACTGTAGTCTGTGAGTGCTATTTGTGTGTTTTTCCGCAGCCTTTAGAGAGAAGTCGGCTCATATTTCATCTGTTATACAGATGCTTGTTTGTAAGGAACACTCTTCCTGGCTGGATCCTATTTTGGTTTGTCAAAGCAAAGCTGCAGAACAGCAGGTTTTTCACATTCCTTCATTATCCTTTTATGGAATAAGGTTTGGGTTGTTGCATGCAAAAGAAACATCTGTCCCACCGCTGCCTTCAACTGCCTGCATGCTCCCCTGCATGCTCTTTACACACCGACAAGTCTTTCGTTCGTTACCTTGCAATATACTATGTAGTTGCGTTGCTCAGCACCAGACCTGAGGCACAAAGCTACACTGTAACTAGCATGCCACAGGATGATAAACAAAAGGGTGTGATCTACTACAGAGAAACTGAAGTGCTCCGATAAGCGGACCCGAACCTTTCAAGCGGTCTTGTGACCTGGAAAGGCCAAGAAAAGGGTTGCTTTTACCTTCTTCTTGTGGGAAGAAACAAAGAAACGGCTGAAGCTGATTTTTCTTCTCTCTGTCTCGCAACCCATCGGAACCCTTTTTAGCATATTTATTTTTAGCATATTTCTGATTCAGAATCCTGCGCAGAAAAGATTGTTGTTGCATCAAGTATCATCACATTTACCCTTGACAAAAAATAAAGCATGTCTTCATGCTTGTCTGCACCAAACCCCACTCAGAGTTATACCCTCTAATAGAGCTGCATGTGCCATCTGACTCTGACTGTGTTGGGGTGCAGAATGTATTAATATCCTCCTGAGCCCCAAGCATGCGCATTTACTTTCACCTTAATTCATCCGTTTATATGCTTACCAAATATAGGTGTCCTAAAAGGTACTTTATACTGGAACCATTTTAATATTTAATCTTATATAAGAAGAGGGTGAGGCTCTGAATGTTCAATCACATCAATTCTGCCAATATTCCCATTTGCTGTTTGATTTTGTTTAAAGGCAGAATTTGCCTTCTAAGAGGACGTTGGTGTTGCCTGAGCTTAGAACTGCCTTCTCTTACTCGTTTTTAATATACAAACCCCTTTTATGAAACTAGAACTGGTTAATGACACTGTAAGTTGAGTTGTGGTGGTGTATCTAAGTAATACAAATATTACTTTAAAGAAACTGTGTCCAGGACATCCACTGTATCAGATGGTTCATAGTCTGTTAAGTGTGCTCCGTAACATTTCCGTTTGTGAGTTACAGTGCTTCATAATAACGTTCGTATAAATAATGTAGGTCAATAATTGCATAAGGACACTGTTAAAGGTCATGTTATCTGCATATAAGTTACATTTTCTAAACAATTCTAGCCACCTGTAGCTGCACTGAGGACAATACATATGCAATCAATACAGAACAGCACTCCTAGCAGTGAGAAAACACAGAATCTTTGATTTTACAACAACCATTTAATACACCCACACACTATCTTTTGAATTTTTATTGCCACCAGATTTCTTTTGTTTGGCTTTAAGTGTCGTGAACAAGTTGTTGTTCTAGCATAAGACACTTATTGAGCTCCAGTATGAGATCCAGAGTATGAACAGGGAGTTACTGATTCAAATATCATCCTTAGATTGTGGTATTAGTTATGTAGCCATGCAATGTAATTTAATTTGCCTTTTTCCATAAACAATATCCTTGTTACTGTGTAACAGACCTCAATGGACTTAGTTTATATTGAATAAATAGCTTTGCTAGATACCTAAAGAGGGTTTTCTTTTTGTAATATGGGCGAACTGACCCTTTAACTCAAAAGCCACTCGCTGCACTATTACTTATTGGATTCTGTCCTGGTCCCTCCTGGGTCGAATTAGGGACCATATTGAATCTGAGTACCTTAATGTTTCTGCTCATTTTTCATATTATTTGTCCCGGTCACGCTACCACCAGACTGCAAAAGAGCACTGAGTATTATTTCCATCTGTGAAAGAGGATGTTTCAGTGTGGAGGTGTTTAAGAAGAATTTTGCTCATTCGACTGGTGCAAACCCACCCACACTTTTTACAATATATCATCATATGAGTGTGGACCATTGTAGTGGCAGCTGCAGTTAAGTTTTGCAGGTCATGTTTAGTCTTTAACATGGTTTGTGGTTGAAGCCTAAGCACACTCAGACATGCTAAAGTCATGCCTCATCAATCAGCATTGTTTTTAAATGTTAACACCAACTCTCCGAGGATTTAGTATGCTGTTTATCAATGCCGTTTTCTGAATTTTTGAGTTTTCTGGAATGTCGGCTTCATCTACACAGAAACAGGAGTACTACAGATTTTCACACATCACTGAGGTCTGCTGTAACTTTAACCTAAGAATATATTTTTTTCACCCCTAGGGCACTGCGTTTGAATTCCTCATCGGTTTCAAAAAGTGTCCACTGGAATCTCTCGGCGTATGAAGAATGAGCAAAGCTCGCATGGCTATTTAGAGTGATGCAAAGACATGTTACACCATCTCAATCTGTGTCAGCCTATATGCTATGTACACTTGGAAGACGTCAGTGTCTGTTTGTGCCATATAGAATTATCACCTCTTAACTATATGACATTTCTGGAGAGGAAAAAACAATCATGGCACAGACGGAGTGGGGGTGGGGTGGCATTTGTCAGTGCTCTCATTGGGGTTCAAAAGTAGAATGTAAAATGTCTGTCTTTGTCTCATCCAACACATTTTATTTTTGTAACTGAGAAATCTGTTCAGGGACCCCAACATTTTTTCCAACTGTCAGGGTGTCATTTGTCAGAAAAAAAGTGAAACTGAATTCCCACCCCCAGTCCTTCTGTATGTTGTGAGGTTATAGCTGTTTCAAACTTGTAAGGTGGGGGGGGCTGTAAGGGAAGCACATACATGGACATTGCAACTTGTCACCTCAAACACACACACACACATTTCACGGTCATTTTGCCCTGCGGAACGTACTTTGCCCGATCTCCTGACTTCCTCTTTGACATTTTCATGGCCTATAGCCTCATCCTCCATCAGAGAGCGATGACTTTTAAGGAGACAAAGCCGTCGGACTGGAGAGTATTGTCCCTCATGATTGAGATGTTAACCTTCAGGGCAGCCCCGTGCTCTTTAGTGTCTAATTTTCTCTCCCCTCTTCTTGTTCTCCTCCTCCTTCTGCTTCTTCCTCCTTTTTTTCACCCGTGGTTTCTCTCTGCCAGTCGCCTGCACAGCGAGGCCGTCAAGCCATTAATGAGTCCCAGCACTGATAATGAAGCCACAGAGGTGGTCTGAGCCAGTGTGGCACATGAGCTGGAGCACAGGAGGAAGGTAGATTAGGATAATTACCTGGCCACGGGGGAGCGATGAGAAAGATGTCACATTACCTGCAGGCATCGATCGACAAAGGAGCAAGTGCAATATAATGAGGTGCGGACACCCTTTGCTCAGAAAAGAAAAAAATAGAAAATGTATTCCTAATGATCAAAATTCTGCATTTTTGATATGGATGTGACGGTGATTGCTCATTGTCTGTTTCCGCAGGTGTCCTCTACATCCCTCGCATGTACGTATGTATTTATTTGCTCTGTATGTATGTCTCTCACACACACTACTGTACGTAAATCCTAAATATCCACACTCACAGAGACTTTGAAGAGCCTATGAGGTCAGGTTTTAAATTATGGTCTGCACCCACGCCAAGCTTTCTCTCTCCACTCCTGTAAATCCATTTTCCATACAATGCATTTCAAATCAAAGCAGCGTCACCATAACACGCCTTAGGAAACATTAAGCCATAGTGCAGTACTTTCATGTATGATATCATAGCCCCTGTATGCTTTGATGTACTTTTTTTCTAATGCTTTATTAATAATAACACACTGGCTCCTTCTCACACCAACATCAGCTTCTGGTGCTCCTTTCTCTCCTCCTGAACACATCCCTCACTCCTTCCATGCCTCAGTTCCTTCATCCCTCCCCAGCCCCTGAGCCTTGTCTCAGGATTGGCCTGTTTGTGTTTGGAAGGGGGATTAGAGGGAATGACATGGGCCTCGAGATGAAGAGAGTGACAAAGACCTATCGGAGGGCAGAGAGTACGGAGCGCTGCATTACCATTGGTTGCTGTGGAAATCAGACACGTCTTCATTTCTTCCAGCCATCCTCTACAAAGTGCCCAGCTTTCATTTCCACGCCCGAGGAGGGGAGCAGCGAGTGGGGGGGGGGGTCGGGATTAGAGTTTCTGTTTGTGCGTTTAAGTGTGTGTGCACGTATGTTTGCTTGCATGTTGTGTGCAGTAAACATCTTAGAGATACAGAGGGATGAGCACGTAGACACTAATAGCGCTCACCTCCTCCAAAGCTGGCCCAAATACAAATGCTGGAACAGTCTAGTGTTGTTCTAGCTGAATGGGATGCCTGATTTACAGACATGTAAAAACCTACTTACACATTTCTCACTGATTTCTCTCATTATTTCAGCTTTATCCTCAGATACTTTGCATTAGTGCTACAGGCAAAGGCACCCAAAAGCACATAATGGCTGTTCAGTATTTGCTGATGATTTCTTTCTGACAATTTCAAAGCAATGTCGTCAATTTACTGGATCACCTCCCCACATTCACATCCGTGTGCAGATGTGCATAAACATCTGCTGAATTAATTTTCTGCTTTTGTGTTTTCTTTGTGTGTTCCTTTTTTGACGTCGATTTCCTCTTTCTGTTGTGTAGCATAATTGAATCTTGATTTTTGTTATTTTCTTAATATTTCAACACACGACTTCTGCAGCAGTTTCTTAATAAGGCGTTTAAATGCAATCTGTGATTGTGTTCCGTAAAAGAATACATAGATCAACATTCTGAAGCAATAATATCTTTAAAGTTTCTTTCAAAATGTGCTCTATGCAGCTACATTTCCAAAAGCTCTACGTTGACCTGCATGTATTTAATTTGTCACATGTACCATACTGCAGCATGTATACACACTTGCACCAATTAGTCAGTGTTGTGCAATGTTTTATACACTGATTTGACAGCATGCTGCAGTCAAAATCCTTCCTAAAGTTCTCATGTGATGCCTGTTGAGCTTGTTGTGCGCCAGACTGTTGTCAGTATTTGCCTGCTTGTTAGGATGCAGCCAGTTGACTCTGGCTGTCTGAGCAGTGATATGACTGGGAGCAGCGGGGCTGGGCCCCAGCCGACTCCGCTCGCCTCCTCGCCCATAATAGATCTGCTTGGTTTGCAGGCTCTCTGGGGGCACCTGGCTCCCCTCCCTGCCATCTCTGGCCGGATCGATCGCAGAGGCCGTCCCAGCGCGGAGACCAGGGGTCATCTTCAAAGGCCTCCTGCCCACTTCCTGCCACCTGGTGTTCCATTTTGGACAAAGGGTACATTTCGTCTCCGTTCCCTCCACCCTCCGTTGCACTTCTGCAAACAGGTTAAGTTAAGGACATGGAGCCGGTACAGCCTCCACCCAGTGATCCCCTTCATCATCCTCCCCAGTCGCCCACACGGTGCGAGAGAGGGTGAGAGATCAGTCCCATTCAAACAGCACGCAAGCACTCACCCATTTGATGTGAAAATCTGCTTTTCAGTTAATTACGGCGTAAGAATCTCTACATGGAAGTGATTTGGTCATTTTTGGTTACCTTTACCTTTGGTAACATTCTCAATTTAATGAACTGGCACTTAAATTCTCTAATCTAGATTTTATTTCATAAGGATAGACCAACCATCAAATATTCTAAATTCAGTGAGAAAATAACCACATCAACACAGAGCATTATTCATTTATAGGATATATTTTATTCAGATATTGTTCATTGCATGATACAGTATAATACAAAAGTTAATGAGGTAATTGTTTGTAATGATGCATTTACTTTTTGGCTCTCACTTGAAACATATTTCATTATTAACTGATCAACAGATCTGCTATGGTATGAATATCTCCATCTCTCCTTCCCTGTTGGTCAAGTAACAAATGGCAGGGCTATCGAACACACATTTCATCTCCATGAGGGCTGTCGGACAATTAGCTCCAGGAATACATATTAATCGAGATTTTTTTTTTTTTGAATCCGTTTATTAAGCCCAGCCATTTTTTTTCCCTCCAATACATTAGCAGATCTCAGTATGTCCGCTACTCTTGTGAACAGGGATGAGAAGGAGATAGAGGGAGAGGAAATAAAGGTCTGATGAGTTTGGCAAAGAGAGGATGGAGGCTGAGACAGATGGCATGAAGTCTGCAGCACTCTGGCGTGGCTCGCCTGGTGCTAAAATCCTCCTCTCTCACATTCCAACAAATCCTACCAGGAGGCTGGGGAGTCTGTCACACCACTCCAAGGATCCACACGGCTCTCTTCAACCCCCCCTCCCCTCTCCTCCCCCTCCTCCGCCGCCCCGGCCCAACTGAGCCTCTGACCGCTCTGCATCCTATTTTATCCTCACATATGTGTACATTCACACATGAACATGTATAGAGGTCGACCATTACAGGACTGGTACGATAAGAGGCACCGGGGGGGGGGCCCAGAAAGAAACGCCGTCAGACTGCTCTTACGGAGAAGGAACCAAGGGGGCTTAATTGAGAGAGGTGGCCTTTACTGTCACTCCAGTGTAAGAAATGTTATTCAGTAAACACTGGGCCAAATCATGGAGGACCGTACAATCCATTTATATCAGAGGAAGAAGACATAAGAAGCTTTCTGATTAGTTTCACCACAGCCCACATCAGCCCATGGTCTTGAACAGAAACACTGTAGCCCAATCTCAATCCAAACATGCACTGCTCAGAACCATGTTTCAAGGCTCCCTGTGGGCCTTACAACCCAAAATGGACAGTAAGTGTGACTGTGATTACACATAGCACAAGACCAACAACTGGATCACGGTCTCCACATGACGGCTCCATCTCCAAGCACTGTACAATTAGAAACCCTTTGAATTTCTGAAGCATGCTTTCTGTTACCATCTTAAAGTGGTTCATCTAATAAGCACAATCTAATTTATTTTACACTATGCTCTCTCCCCATGTCTCTTTCTCGCTGTCTTTCTGCCTGCCTTCTGTTTGTTCTAATGAATGACTTCTGAGATGAGATGCTGCTGTGAGGAGGTCACGGGGGGCTTTAGAATCACATTACCGTTAATGATAATAAAAAGAACAATCGGTGCTAAACCTCTTGGATGTCTTCGCCTCTCTCCCCATATGGAGTGTGTGTTTTATCTGCTATTGTTTTGAGTATCTTTACATGTTGTAATTGAAGTCTTTGCAATTAAAATGCACAGTAAATATTGTTTGTGTTGTTTTTTTTGTGCAGGCATTGTTTATTGACAAAAAAAGGGCAGATAAAAGGTATACAGCGGTGCGCCATCTGGGTTGTAAAGCTGCATGAGAAAACATTCCCTACGGTAACATTTTAAGTGCAAAAGTAATGCAAACAACTTCCAACATTTGGAGTCGGGCTTTATTTGATCAATTCTTTAATGACGAAACAGAACAGTCATTTTCAGCTTTTGAAAACTATTGTAATATCTAGGTGTAATCACCTCTATTCAACTTATGTTGAAGCAAGTAAGTGAAATCTGTTTTGACGATATGAAGCATGCATTTACTGGATGAAAACTGTCCTTATGTTTACACCAACCCTAATATGCACTGCATCTTACATCTGGATATAAGGGCAATAAAAACTAGCAGCTCTGGAGGACTAAGTTTCATCTTGCAATGCAAGTTGTCAACACTGGTGCAGGCCTTCATATCAACATCTACTCAACACCAAAGTGTTTGCTGGGGTTGTTTACATGGATCTGACATTCACAAGCAGATCATCAGTGACTTTCCCTCCCACCACCACAGAGATAGAGTTGCTGGCTGTCCTTCCTGCGTGGCAGGGCAGCGTGGCGTCCCCAGGCCCATTGGCACCGCAGCTGTCACCCACAGGATGGGAGAGTGGCAGGGTCGATGGCTCCGCGGCGTGGCTTCTGGCAGCATCCGTCCCTTCCTGGCCCGGTGAAAGGGCAGAGATGAACCCAGTCTCTCAGTGCATTGATCGAGGGCCAGCCCTCCATTAGCCACCGTCGGAGCGAAAGGTCAGCTAAGGCCAACGGATGGGTCCTGCGTGCATCCTACGGAGTGACTCATTCTCACACCCGGGGAGCGAGTCCTTGTCACTTTGGTCCGCGCTGCCCCACCACTCCTGGTGGCCACACGACGGTGGCTATTCCTTTCCGAATGCTACACACCTCCCTGATGGGTTGCTGCGGGTTAAACCTGCTTGCTTTTTTTTGTTTGATGTCAGCCACATTATGCATTATTGTTCCTTTTAGAGGTTTTACTATCTCCTGCCAAATTAAAAGAGTCTTCCTTCTAATTTTCTCCAACAGAAATTGCTTAATAAATAAGCAGGCCGTGATTTGCACTGATGATCACACAGCAGCACAATTGAACCAAATTGCTCACCCAGAGATGGTGCACCACATTGTGCTCATCACTGAGTGGCAACTACTGCCTGGTGTGGTTTACATTAATGCAGCCCGGCTGTGAAAAGGGGATAATTGTGGTGCTAAATGCTGTAGAGGCTGACAGGATCCATTTCTTGACTTGTCAAGGGCAGCAGTGATAGAAAGGGTCGTGCCGGCGTCTACACACAGAGAGACAGATGAGTTTATTTGCACCAACACGCGTGCACACATGCGGGCACATGAGCACACACACGCAGACAAAATCAGCCACACTCCACATAGAGATGATTGTCTCTTGCCTCTGTCAGGTTTTGCTTTTTTTTTTTTCTCCAGCCATGGAGACCTCATCCTGGGAAATTGAGCAATTTCTGATTGAAAACAGTGGCAGTAATTAGAGCACTCACTATTTGTAACCACTTGGCATTGCATTAGTATGCAAAGCTGGCAGCCAGCTTATCTTGGGGAAAACGTTTGTTTCCTTAATTGCCCTCTTAGGACAAAAGTGAAGGGGGTGGGTGGGGAGGGAAGAGAGTAAAATGTTAACGTGCTGCAGTAAGAATGGAGCCCGGTGGGTTGAGGGGATGTGACTCCCTGAACACAGGGGTTAAACTCCACTAATAGGCTGCACACAACACACATGGGCGCACACGCAGGCACAGAGTAACAGTGGAGCACTCATACACCCACATATGGGCACACACTTGCGTTGGCACATGGGCACACATGGAGGCACAGTCAGACAAAAAGACAACTACGATGAGCGCACACATTCCAGGACACACACAATTAGGCACAGTTAACTCCATAGACATACTGTAAAATTAGACATGTAAAAATACCCATTCGCCACGCTAATTAATTAAATGACCTGTCTTTAAATAAAGACTCCAGGAAGATGTAAAGCAGTAAATGAGCCGTGTTCAGTTCATTCTAATGGCTTAATAAATACTGTTTCAGTATCCCTTGTCATTTAATGAATGTAAAGCTTTCGCTGCATTTACCGCAGCTTTCACTTCATCTGTACAGGTAAAAATGTTACATCTGTGAGTAGCTCATTCCTACATGGCTCTGTCATACTTCTCATAGTACTTACCGTCACTCAAAGAGCAGAGACAGAGATGAGTCCTTCATGTCAAATTCTGCTTTATTTCGCTGGGCATCTCCTTGTCACCTGTGTTGGACATGGGAATCTTAACTGGTCCCTGTTGGGAGGTAAGCAAAAATGTCCCCACATTTTAATGTTACTTTTTTGCAGTAAAAACTAGAGTTTGCATTTTTTCTTGCACCAGTGACTCATGCTGCATTGCACTTTGAAGTAGTTGCTGATTTACTTTGATTCCCCCTGATTGTTGGACAGCAGTATGTATATCTCAGAGGAACAGATAGTGAGGCATTCAGCCTTTCACAAAACATAGCGGAACTGATGTATAATTAAGACCCTCTATCATATGTAAAGACAGGGGTCTATTTACTTTTTTATTACCACCTGTGCACATATGGAATCCGTTTTTACAATACTCACAATAACAAAGGCTTCCATTATTATTTTTGGTTTGCTATTTTTAGAAAATAAATGCAGCTGTCTTGTTCCTCCACGAGAAAGACACACTTTGGCGTGAAGCTTTATTCGTTCTGAAAAAAACAACACTGCCATAAAGAACGTGGCTTGCACTGCCTGTTGAAGACAATTAACCCTTCATTCGGTTCAAAGCTTCCTAATGTGATCGGAGCGTGATATTTGTACGTGTCTGTTTTCTAAATATATATATAAATAAAACATTTAGGCTAATAAAATGTGAGAAACTGCGATGACCCGTTGAAATGTTCTGCTCTTTGAAGAGGTTATCACCACATGTTGAAACTCCTCTTTCGAAGTCTAATCCACAAACAGACGCAAATCATTTCATATTAAGCGCAATCAAAGTCAGTCAGCGCGCGCTTCTAGGCGATCTAAAGTCTAATAGAAACTGTATTTTGATCACGATACGAATGGATGATACACAATGAAAAGCCTCTGCAAACGCCAAAGATGCTAAATGTTTGTTTTATCATAATTATGACTTCAATACTAATGGTTTACTCCTTTATCAATAATGTGTCACCGAAGAGGATGATCTCTAAATCGACACATGACAATTACAGTTTGGATGAAGTGAATGGATTAGTTTACCCACGTGTGAAACAATAAGAAGATATCTCACGATTATATGATTTAACGAATTTTGACGTCAGAATTGAGCGACTTTTGTACCCTTCATGTTATTTATTATACATTGTTTTACAAACCTGTCATGATTAAATAAATCAGCAGCCCGATTCAAAGAACGTGCAGCAAATTATTAACTAAATAGCCTAATCAAATAACGCAAACGAAATAAGTTAGAAGTAAGGCAAATACACTTACATGTGAAAAAAAAAGTTTTCATTTCCACGTTTCAGCGGAAGCAAAAGAAACAGAAGCCTCGGTGCTGCATGCAGGTGGATGAATAATGATGAAAACATTGAGGGCCTCTCAGCCTTCTGGTGTAATTTGGTTACTCGGATTCTCATTAAACATTTTCTGATCAGCTTTATTTAGTCACAAAAAAGATAAAAGGGTCATGAAGTTACAAATACGCCAATTCCACATTAATTGGTGCCCGGTGAAATAGAGTTTGCTCTTTCTTCTCGGAGATCTGTTGCATCTCATATTTGCAATAAGGCAGCACGAAGTGCCGAGAGTACATAAACGTTTTGGAGAGAAACAAGTTGATAAAATAAAAGAGGGGACTGCATTGCATCTGCAAAGTTTGCACAAAATAAAAACACGGAATTTTAACAACAAAATAAAAATCCCTTTAAAAGCACCTGACAGAGATGTGGGACACTTGACAGTGAGCATCACACATCCTCTTTTAAATGATTTGGATGGATCTTATTAGGATGATTGATATAAAGATTAATTAGCCAGAGCTAATAAACCAGCCGTTAGATTATCTGGCTTAATTGGTCCAAATACTGCAATTATTAGGAAATATGTGCAAATGTTTGTATTTACACCTCGAAATCCATCATGCGCGCACTCACGTGCACACGCCACGGGTGGGCAATGAGACATCTGTGTGTGTGTGTGTGTGTGTGTGTGTGTGTGTGTGTGTGTGCTGTGGAGAAGGTTCAACATGGCCACATTTCCTGATGAACTTCACGTCACTCAAATCAATCGTTGAGGCGTCTGTTGGTTATTTTTGATTCGATAATTAAAGGTTCTCATCACAGGCTGCGGCTCAGTAGTTATTAAACAAATTCAGGGCCTCGTGGGATGGGTTTAGGACACCAAACGGGCTGTTTCTTCTTCTTCTTTGTAAACTATGATGGAGGCTCTGACTGAATTCAATGTTTTTAGCATTTCGCCCAAACACAACCTGAACTAACAGTGATGTGAAGTGCTGTGTTACTTCAAAAGGAGTCCCTCTTTAGATCATATCCGGCTGAAGGTTTGGTAATGTAAGACTTCCTTAAAGTTGCGAGGGCCAAAATGGCTTTAGGAGAGCTGAATCAGTGTCCGTGTGTACACACCACGTCCAACAAAAGCAGGGGCTAATCCACCTAATTTACACAATGCTTAGCGGCCCTGTTTACATGGGTTATACCCACAGAGGGCCTTTGTCTCGTCTTCCCTGCATTCCAGACCTGACAGAGGTAGGCTACTGTTTTGATTTTCTCTCTCTCTCTATTTCTCTCACGTGAGAATGAAAGGCAACGTGAATGAGCAACTGGTACAATCTGCATCCAAAGCAGATAATGTGGTGCTACATAGAAATCAAAAACAGGAATTGTTTTGAATATAGCACCAGCATATTTATTTATTGCTTATTTTCACCTGTTAACACCCGTTTCATATAGCCACTTCTTCCTAAAATAAAATATTAACATTTTGGATTTTATTGAGGCATTTATCAGATTGCTACTCCGCGAATGTGGAAGTTTACCACAGTTAATTTATTAAACTGCGTAACCGATTCATACTTTGTATTATTTTTGTATTTATACGACAGTAACGAATAACATAGACGTGACCACACAGTTCTTGTGTCCAGGCCTTACTAAAACAAATGAACTGGCACAACTCTCGATGCAGAACTTGAACACGTCACACAGACGAACAATGGCAGAATTAAGATAAAGATATACATTATTATCGGAATATAAGGTGCACGTTTTGTGTTTATAGGCAGACTCGCGTTTTGTTACGAGTCGACATTGATTAAATGTGTGTATAAAAAGGCAATTAAAGGCATTTATTTTGTAACAGGACTTTTAATGCACCAATAATGTAAATGTGACCATAACAAAGAAAACCTTTACAGCATAAAGCGCAGTTCAATGCTAGCTGCAGAGTACAGTATTATTAGCTAAATGTTTCTGGCCTATATACTTCCATTTCCATCTCCTGTTTATGATTTCCATATAAAACCAAAAATGACTGTCTATCAGTTTGACTCGTAATTATGTTGCATGTTTCCACAATGTATTTTACCGAATTTTACAAAATAATGCAAATACATATTCTGAAATGTATCCTCATAATTTGTTTTCTGTTTTAATATATTATACATGAGGCATATTCACTACAAAACCAACACTTAATAGTGAAGCACTGAATTTCCCTGCGATTATAATTGCCTAAAAAGTCATCCTAGATATTTCAGATTCATGTTTGCATTTCTTAAACGCATCCACAAACTATTCCTATATCTGTTAAAGCACAATATCTTTAAAAAAGGATGAAAAATGGTCTTCTCTCCGTGTTGGACACTTCATTTTCTAACAGTCTTTTGCACTGAATGCACCATTGTCTTGTGTCCTTTGAGTCCAATCGCACCCACGATTAAGGTCATAAATTAAGAGTTCTGGCACCTGCGCTGCGATTTTTTAAATTGCTTTCATTACGGTCCTAGATTTCCTGTTTATTTGTCTTCGAGCCCTTTGTATCTTCCCCGTTTGTAGGTGCGTTTTCCATAATAGCATTTTTTCCAGAAGGGGTAATTACTTTGGCACAGCCAGGTAAATTCCGCCGCTAAATTGAAATATTCTGCTTTAATCCCCCCCAAATCCCAATTCTCAGGACAGGGAGCTGTGAGCAGCGGCGGAGTCATGTGGAGCTCCGGGTGCTTCTTCAGGTGATCGTTGCGTCGCAGGGGGGCGGAGGATCTCCTCTCTCCGTCATAAGCATAAAACAAGATTACTCGATCTTTATCACCGAGCGTCGCCCCCCCACACACACACACACAACTCCACAATCTCCGCTTCAGATAGAAAAATGTTGCATAATGAGCAGGAAACGAATTGCAAGTTGTTTTTGGTGTGTCATAAATAAACTTCCCTGCTTTGTTTTGTTCAGGGGGTTCATTCCTCTAACAAAAGAGCTGGTGAAGTTGTTCATGTAAATGCACGAGGAGACGCACTCCTAATAGGTGCTTGATATCTTTGTTTTGCATGCTATTTGAAAAAGGAAGAGGCTCCTATAACATTTAATAAAAATAAAATCTCTCCATTCCAGTTTTAAAGTGTTTTCTTGCAAATACTGGCAGAAGTTTCAACATTCTGCTTGTGATGGTGCTGCCTGAATTCACCTTCCCCATATCTTTAATTTGTAGTCACCAGGAATAAAAAGCTTGAGTCTCAGCTCTGGCAGCTCCCATGTCAGTCTTTGCAGGAGTGGGTGACAGAGAACAGCAGAGGCAGATAGCATGCTAAAATCGCTTCACTAGAGACCCCACATCAAAGTAGACCAAACCTCATATTGAGTGAACTTTTAAGCCAGAAAGACTGTGTGACATCAGAGCACCTAAAATGAGACTGTCATGTTTTTCAAACTTCGCTGAACACAGGCTCAAAGACTTGAGAAGTATTCAATGGCAAGCGCTTTTCAAACACACCCCCCCCCCCCCACTCTCACACACACACACACACACACACACACACACACAC